GCTCAAAAATAAAACGAGAGAGAGATGAGTTATTGTTATTACAACATGACTTCATTATTATTTAACAACTCTTTTTATTGGGTTCTTTATTTGGGGGCTAAGTACATTGTCAGAATAAGTGAGAAATGAATTTAACTTCTGTTAGACAGCTATCATACTGAATAATGAAGCTCAGCGCAAGTTCAGGCAGGAAGACCTATCACTTCGTATTGCACGTCATGGCAATACTCGCTCCCTTCACTAAATGATGGGGAGCGCCACTCCTCAAGCTAACCTATCACTTCCCTCCATTCACAAGCCTAATTATCGCACCTGTTAATCCCTCTATATATGCTCTCCCCTTGTCCATCAGCTGTCTTCCAGGTGTCAACGCGCAACCCTCCTCCACCCCTTCGCCTCCTGCTTCCAACTCAGGGCCAAGCTCAACCTTCTCCCTTCCAACCGGACCTAATCACTTATCACCGCCACCAGTGTCTAGACCCGGGGGGGTTCATCGGAAACGGTTCTTCCCTTCCCGAATGACATCCTACCAAACCTGGGCCTAATCGCCAAACACCATTTCATTCACTTGTTATAAACTGTCATCATTATGTTTCATTTATATAATGTGACCCGATAATAAACATGTATTTCATACATCACGTCTCTCCTGATTTAAATATATCTGGCCATGTATGTAATCCCGCTGGGCTGATTTTGATGAATTTGGGGTTGATTTTTTGTTTTAGGAGACTCAAAACTGCCATTTTTGATCCTACAAATGTTAGAAATGGATTCACACACCGAAAATGTTCCAACTCGGACAAGCCTTTTTTTTACTATTGTCTGCATATGGGAATTAATGCTAATTATGCAAATTGCCCAACATATGCAAGTTAGCATCCAGCAGTTTGTATGTGCTGGGGACCCTACTATACATTTATATCATAAAACCTTGGGGTACTCAACATTTCATGGCAAGAAGACTAAAATGTAAAGAGCCAGTAAATGATAGTGCTCTTGTGAACTGGTGCAGCTGGGTGTTTACAGTCACAACACTTTGTCTGTCGGGGGCTGGCACGGGAACATGTTAAACTTGTGTAGCGTGTGAACTACCTCCTCTCTAGCATCTGCTGCAGCAGGTCCTCCCCCCTATCCCCTTCCCCCCCGGCGGCGATGTGCTCCTCACAGACGTTCCTCAGCTCGCTGGAGGGGTATGACTTCATAGACTGGCAGCGCCGCCGCTGCTCCCCCGCACGGGATAACACACTGGATTTCTGGATGGGAATTTGAAGAGCATGTTTCCTAAGTTTGCTGGATCCATTCCAACAGCATTCACTTTGGTTCCATTATCCAGTCAACGGTATAAAATAAGAATTGAAAATATCTTTCTCTTGGAGTGATTACATTAGAACGATTGAATTTATTGTTTAACATGTATGTGCTTTGATTCTAAATATAGTACAAATCTTTCATGGTATAAGTGACTTATAAAAACTTGCTACTAAGAATAAAGCTAAATCAATTTTTATTTAGATATTGCCTTGGAGCAAAACTAGTCATTGATTTGCAACATTGTTCAAACTTACCAAGTGCAATTAAAAATATTAATATTACCTTTTGTATAAATGTTACAAAAACACCTATGAGAGTGTACACACTTCCATTGTCATTTGGTATAAATGACAAAATTGGTTCTTAATTGTACCGGGAAAAAAACTGACAAAACCTTAAGATGGGAGGATCAGTGCTGTTCCTTATTACTCTAGCTCCAAGTTAAAGAGCAACTTGCAGGTTTTTTTTTTACTACATTTATGCTCAGAGGATTTCAGAGGAAAAGGAGCCGTTTTGAGCTCTGCTACTAAAAACTGTTTTTTTTTAACGTCATACGTCAAACGCGTCATATTACGTCACATGGGGGAGCAACTTTCTCGGACTCGTTATCTGCCCAATCCGCGGTAGTAGTTCTCCACTGATTCTCCACACACCAAAGCTCCATTTCTCTCCGATGGCCGTTATTTTTTCTAATCCTTGGCTGCTCCTGGTCTCTTGGACGCCTAGCAGGCTCATAATTATAATCATATGCATTCGAATATATATTTTCCATCTCTTCTGTGTCAAAACTAGCATTATGATCCATGTTTATTCATACGTTAGACCGGCCGCTCTCCCCCATGTTACGTCACACGCGGGAGGTCATGTGCAGAGGCTTTTTTATGCGGAAGTGAAATGTCTTACTAGAACGACGCCAGATGTCACTGGAGTGTATATTTCTGTATATTTTTTTGAAAATCTAGTGTATTCATCATTTTCCTACACCTTTATTCACTGGTGTCTCTAACCTGCAAGTTGCTCTTTAAAGGAAATGTGAAAAGGGCTAATTTGGGTAGTAAGGACATGTTCAGCTGCTGCTATACTCAGACCTCTACCTCCCTCCACTGGTTACCCCACTGAATACACTGTGGCGTGTTAATAGTGAATGTAGTGCTGCCAGCAGTATAACTGAAGTGTTCCCTGTTTTCTCTGAAGAGAACAAAGACAGGCAGGATATTGGTCTCCGTGTACAGTGGAACTGTTGCATGTGTTAAAGATGTTTCCATTCTCGACTGACCTTAAAGCGGATGTTGTTGCTGACCAAGATGTTTCCCTTAAGGAAGTCCCGCTCGTTGTACCGGTTCTCTGTCACCACAGGGAAGGCGTTGTAGACAGTGGTGCGCAGGATGCTGACCAGAGACTGGACCCGTGTGTGGGGGTACACATAGGTCAGGTTGGGCTCCATGATATCATTAGCTGTCAGCCTGGATAAAGGAGGGAAGGAACAAAGAGATTTCCTGTTTAAGGTGATGATAGAACAACTCCTGACAGACTGAGGATCCAAATGATAACAATCAGCTGGTTCATGGACGCACACAATGAGATGCTTAGAACTGATCATGCTGAGCTCGGGTATCAAACTCAATTAATCCGGGCCCCATCAACATTACTCCCCTTTAAAAAGGGACGTTTGTAACTGTAAGATTCTAATTATATATATAATTATATATTATTTGTCTTCTTTACTTGCTTGTAAAGCGCTTTTAGCACCAGGAAAAGCGCTTTATAAATCACATGTATTATTATTATATAAATATGTGACCCGCTCTATCGAAATCAGTCGGAAGTCACAAC